TATTCCAGTTAAATTTTGAATTTTTCAGTAAGTTTATGTAGCGGTTTTAGCAATCTCAGAAAAATTACAGATGAACCTTCTGTAATAGCTACATATTCCAAAAAAGATCAGAGTTCATGAACATTTACAGGTATCGGCCAATTTCTAATACACTCTGTCTTTTTCGGATCAGTTTTGATTACCCTCCACAGAGACTATATGACCCAAAAATTCAACCTCCTAGCAAACAAGCAACATTTCTTTGCTTTTAATTTTAATCCTGCATCTTTAAGTCTATCAAACACCTTTTCTAAATTATTATACATATCCATAAATGTCTTACCGGTAACAATAATATCATCCAGGTATATTAAACATATACTCCAATGTAATCCAGCTAAGACTGTTTCCATTAACCGTTTGAAAGTTGCCGGGGCATTACAAAGTCCGAAGGGCATAACTTGAAAATTAAATAACCCTTGTCTTGTCATAAATGCTGTTTTATCTCTATCTTTTGGTTCAACCTCTACTTGCCAATAACCGGAACAAAATCAAGGCAAGAAAACCATTTTGACCCTGCAAGCTGCTCCAAAGACTCATCTATATTCTAGGAATAGGATATGCATCTTTAGTGGTTACAGTATTTAATCGTCTGTAATCTACACAGAAACGACGAGATCCATCCTTCTTTTGGACAAGAAACAACTCCACTTGACCAAGGGCTTGATGACGGTTCGATGACTCCTTTATCTAACATGTCTTTAACCTGTTTTCTCACTTCCTCATTCATACATTCTGGTAATCTTCTTAATGGTTGTTTTATGGGACGAGAATCCCCAGTTGGTATTTGATGTCTGATAATACCTGTTCGACCTAAATCTGTATCAGACTTTAGAAAATATATTGGAGTATTTTGTAAGCAATTCTGATATTTTACTACATTGAATATTACTCAAAAACCCTCTGCAGTACGATCATACAGTTCTTTAAGATGGGCTGGCAATATTGAAAATATCCCCTTTATCATTACCATAACTAACATGTGCTATCGGGCTCATTAGATGCAACAAATGTACCAGGGTGCAAAGTCTGTGTTCTGCGGAAACATTCATTATTCTTACAGGTATCTTATCTTTTGCTTGCACTAAAGTTCTTGCAACAAGCCCATTTTCATTTAAAATAGGTCTACCATTAGCTCAATAATATATGATTCATTACTTTGGTTTCGACTCACCAAATATTTTACCTTGTACCAGCATTTTTGAAGTTTCCAGGGTTTTTGTTTTTTCAAAAACAAATTTTTTAAAAACCCATCTTCCCCGACAATTTAATGGATTTTTTTCCATTACAGTCATGAATTTCTACCCTGATATATCTAATTTTGCATCCCTTTAATTTTATTTAAAAACTAAACCAGTATAATGTCTACATCAAAAATCTTTATAACCCCCAACCCCCTAGATAACCCCTTTTTTTTTAATAAACTTTAAAGTCAGTTTTGTTTTGTTTCCTTTTAATCAAGTGGGGTCCCCAAGCTTTTTTGATATTTAAATTTTTATATTTTTTCAAAAATTTTTAAGATGGATCACAAATAAACTAGAAAACCTTTTTGAGTAAATTAAACTTTAATTTTTGCACCTGTGGGTTTTTAAAAATGATGCCAAAAAGGGCATTTTTAAACCCTTTGGGACTTAAATATAACCAGAACCTTGATTGCTTGTTCTTTTGACATTATGGCTATCGTCTTTATCTTGTGACCTTAAACCCTGATTTTTTAATTTTCGGACATTTATATCTATAATGACCCTGTTCCCCACATTCATAGCATCTATACGTCTGCTTAAATGACCTAGACCTATTAAAAGCATTGTTATTTTCATGAGAATTACTTTGAATGACTATTATATTTAGGGCCTATAAGCTTGTGTGCCATATGACTTATTACGATTAAGGTTTCGTATAAGATTCTGAACCTCTTTCATTAATTGTTGACATTGACTTGATACATTGTTTTCTCTATCTTTCGATGTATCATATCGGTTGATAGAATGGATAAAGTTTCGTCTATCCGCAGTTTTATGCACAGCTTTGTTAAAAGCTTCCAACTCAACGGCGTGTCTCACCGCGTCATTAAGACTTGATGGGCGAGCCCGTTTAATTCTTAGCCTCATGTCTGTACTAATAAGTGAGTCAATAAACTGTTCTTTGGCAAGCACTTTCTCTAACATCTTGCTGGGCTGAAGGATAAGCCAAATTAGTTAATCGCCTTATATCTTGACCCATTTCTGACAATGACTCTGCAGCTCTCTGACGCTTTCTCGGAGCCTGTGTTTCTGTATAACTCAGTCTGATTGGTGGTGCAAAACGTTCTTCCAATGCAGTAACAAGTTCCATAAAATTATGCTTATCACGCCTTAAGTTACCGAATACGCCCTGTGCTTGTCCACGCAACGATACAGCTAGATATAAACCTTTTTTGGTCATCTGTCCATTTATTAATTTCTGCACATGCATTAAAAATGTGGTTTATAATCATCCCAAAAGCCCGAAACCATCAAATGTAGCTGGTTTCATATAAACCCGCATTTCTTTCAGACTTCCAAACCCTTTATGACTTTCATTATTTATTTTGAATTTTTTGGGTTTTTTTTGTTACAAAACTTTTTCCCCTGCCCCCGTTTTTCATGTAATTTTTAAAATTTTATGTTCCCCATTTTCGGGGTTGAATACCTGATGGGGAAAATTTTTACGAAAACGTTTCCCCTTATAAAAACAAAATTTATTTTTCTTTTGTTGGAAATGATCTTTTTTTATAGGGGCTTCTTTTTTGTTCCTTTTATCATCTGATTTGAATTTCTTTATCTGTAAACTAAATTTATTATGTCTTGTCGTCAATGACGTCTCAAAAGAAGCTGATGACAATGTCATGAAGCTAAGTCGATTTTCGAGTCTTTCCATTTCAAGTTGTAGTCTGAGACTCTCATTTTCCATCTTCAAAATTCTGTTTCGAATCTCCATGTCTTCATCATCTATCAATGAACGTTGATTTCCCTCGGCCATTTTCTAAAGTATTTTTTTTTTTTAAATAATAAATTATACGTACCCTTTAAAATGTATTTCTTCAAATGTGGGCAAACACTGGTGATTGTGTTTTATCTATAAATAATAATAGATCTATCCCACCGCTGCCACCAATTCTGCAACGTGTACCGAGCTTAAATACGTATTTATAATCAATATATTATATATAATTTTCCTCTAGGTTTCCTTACCTAAATGATTGAAGACCAATGATTTCAAAATTAATTGGAATATAAATTAATCAACTTGAATTAAATAATATTATATAAAACAAAACACAATATTGTTATATTTGATAACAATCCTAAATCCTAGTTTCGATCCTTAGTCTCTTATGCCTCTTAATATAACCCGTCTCGATGCCTATGCCTATTACACAAATACTCGTATTTCCTATACTTTTGTTTTATTTATCTCCAAACAGTTATTCAACAAATATCCTGCAGCCCGGTTTACTTTCTTACCATATAAAAACCTGTAATCCTCTCGGTAGCGTTGCCCCCTAGAGAACACGGATCACAGATAATATATAGCAGGTATAACTTCAAAGCTCCAAGATTAGATGTTGACACTCTGACTTCCACCAACAAAAACTAAAAACCTCACCTTGAATTCCTCTGCCTTTAAAATATGCTTTGAAAAACAAAAAAACCCCTCACGGCCCATTTTTGATTTGGCCCCATCAAACTTACCCAAAACAAAATTTTACAGAAACGAGCACCTTAAAATTTTTATAAAATTAAAATAGTCAAATTACGAAAAATGTCAAATTTAAAAAATATTTTAGGTTAAACTATTTTTACTTTTCTTACAACCCTCAAAAGGGAAAAACTCACATTCCCTTATTTACAACAGAAAATAACAAAAATAACCCTTTTAAAATATAAAATTTTCACTCTAAAGTAAATTTTACGTTTGTAAGGGCAAATGGCGTTCTAAATTAAAGGGGGTAACTCGTAAAAATGTTAACCCTTTGCCCCATTTAAATGAAGAAAAAATTAAATTTTAAAAAAAAAAAATAATTATTATCTATAATAACTGCTTAATCAAATTATCATATGAAACTAAAACGAACAATTTTTTTCCCAATATGTCAAATTGTCAATCCAAAATGAAAGTAAGTCAAGCAGCAGATTGTTCTCCTTTATTTCCGTATGGAGTATTTTCATTGGTCTGAGGTTTTTCGTATGACCAATGCAAATACTCCATACTTCAGCTGGTCCTTAAAATTTGTTTGGAATTTTCGGTCACCGCGGTTCAAGAATCATATATATATATATATATATATATATATATATATATATATATATATATATATATATATATATATATATATATATATATATATATATATATATATATATATATATATATATATATATATATATATATATATATATCTGTAAACGAAATGCTAAAAAAGACCCTGTCTAATATCTATTTTCAATGTACAATATATACTGTCTTTTTTTAGCATTTCGTTTACAGACAACTTAACCTTTATTCGTATTTTGGTTTATAGCAAAACATTTTGAAATAGCATAAGATGATATTGTGGTTTGAGCAAACAAGAAGCGACCCGTTGATAGCAAAAATAAGTTTTTTTAAGTTGTTCTTTATTATTATTATATCAAACAAAAAAGTAGCCACTGTTTATTAAAACCGAAACATTCCATTAAAATTTTCTTTTAATTTTCAAATTTTACCAAAAACGATTAAAATACTTGTTTTAACGGTGACAAATATTTTCTTAACCAAAGGCCTCTCTATAATTAAGTTTGATTTAACTATCCTGGCATCTATTATATTTCGTATACGGCAAGGACAAAAAGAAACGTTATAACCTAAATAGGTTTTTTTTAATATATCAAGTAGACCTTAGCTACACAGTAAAAGCATTTTACGTAGTTAAAGCATTATCCAATCGGGTACATATCTCGCTAGCTTATATTAGCGTATGCATAACATTTTACATTAGAGAGGCAAGTTTTATTTTCAATAAGTAATTGTGATAAAATGGCGTTCGATGTTTGGATTTGACAAAAAGAATATAAAGAAATTATATGTAAGTGCAAATTTTTAAAACACTTTATCAAACATGTTGAGATTTGACCCATTTAGTGTTTTTTTTTAGAATAATTAAAACTCTTTAATTTCGTTTGATCATTATCTTCTTTTTTATTTTCAAACAGAGCTCATGTTTTGTTTCTTAAGATCGACATTTCCGCTAGCAGCTAGCATGCACAATTTATTTACTCAAAATTAATTAACTTGTTGTCCTTGATCCACTAAAAGTAAATTTGTCCCGTAAATTTAAATTATATGTGTTTGTGTGCGTGCTTGCGTGTGTTTGTGTGCGTGCGCGTTTGTGCGTGCGTATATTGTGTCAAAATTTACCTCTTTTTCTGAAGGTACATGATGAAAATAACTTTATTCGTAATGATATCAAAATGATTATAAAATATTAGTTTTAAAATGTGGTCACATTCCGGTATTTTATATTCATTAAATTTGTGCATGTGGTATGGCAATTTATTTATTTATCTATTTATTTATTTATGTATTAATAAATTATTTATTTATTTATTATTTGTATCTTAAAATGAACTTACTGTCATCTTATTATATGAATATCTGGGAATGGGAACTAAGAATTAGACATACACAAACTTAATCGTTTTTAAAATACCACGGCGAAAAGTTATCCACATCGTTCGTGCTTATTGTTTTATAAATGAATTACCTTACAAAACCTATAGATCAATACAGCGGACAAGTAACAAAAAATTGTTGTAACGGATCATTTCTTGATATTGCCTACTTTTTATCATTTAACTGTGAAATGTGAAATAATTAAGGTCATCTCACAAATTGACAATTTACTAGAAAGTCGTAAATGACTTTTAAATTTACCTGTAATTGACCTAATAACAGATGCTACCGATTGAGAGAAAAAAATCGATACTTTGATAATGATTTATAATGGTCCACTTATAGTTGTTATTAAATGGTGTAGATATTCTTTTGACACGTATAAACAATATTAAAAAATGTGTGAAACACTTCAACTGAAAATGGTCTAGAATTCACTAAAATAGCGTGCACGTGTGTTTTGTATTACAGTTCAATAAAGTTTTTAGATAAGGATGTAAACTTATCAATTATCAATTACAATAACCCAAATGAAAACGCTGTTCGTTGCTAATAAACATATCATTTTTATAAAGATCAGCAACGTTTTATTGCTTTGTCAGCTATGTTCATTTAAGCAACACATCAATCTTATTATTCATACATTGCATTTTAAAAATGAACTGCAAAATATTGTACATTATGATTGTTTTGTATCATAGTTTGGGGACCTTTCTGTTGAAAATGGGTCAGAGTTAAATCGTACACATATACATGCACAGTGCGTTAACTGGAGTGCAGGTATTAGTTACCCGCACTCCGAAGCATGCCCATTGATTGGTTCATTTTTGCTTGGGTTTACTTATTGTGACGGCAGAGACAAAGAAAGCGACAGAAATATCATATTCAGATGGATGCTCGTTCATTGGTTCCTTTTTTCTGAGGTTTCATATTGTGACAACAGGAAACGTATGACTTTGATACAAAAGAACATCAAAACACTCGGCAATCTGATTAATACTCGGGTATCGATGCTCTTTCTATTACTAAACAAATATAAGATCTCTCACACAATTTAGAAAAAATATGCAGATGCAATAACAATTATACACATTTTAACAAAACAATAACAAAAATATCTAAGATTAGCCTTCAGCATTAATTAATTTGAGGACAAGTACTAGCTATTTGTCACCAAGTCTAACCCAGAAGACATTATATACGATGTACATCAAACTTATTGCGTTTTCACCGAAAAGCATGGAAACAAAATTTCTTGTTGCTCAAATGAATGTTCTGCAATTAATTTTAAATTATTTATGGGACAGTTCAGCCATATACGGGACACGCCTGTTTCTATGTTTACCTTTATTTTATGGTGCCAATATAAGTTTAAAGTATTCGTTCATGAAAAACAAATTAAACGTCTCGTTCATGAAAGACAAAACGTCCAAATAATATCAATTACAATATCAAAATTATAATTTCTAGAAGCAGTCTGTGAGTGATATACACATTTCAGATACTGTTTTTAAAAGACATACTAGATAATTTTTTGTTTTCATGGAGTTCAATTCTACAATTCAATAATTTCAAGGTCCAATTGCAAGTTTAAATAATTGAACAAAGCAAGCATAATAATTCACAAGAGATTATAAAAGAGGGATATTTCCGTAAATGATAGGCTCGTAAATGTTGAAAATCTGTTCCTGTTCAATTTTTGACCATAAATGTTATGAGAATTTTCCGAATGGTTTCATCATCTAACTAAATATTAGCAAGACAAATATCCACTCTTGATGTACCAAGTATAAATACAGAATATAATTGACAACATATCGTCAAATGCACGTTTTAAGAGCCTCGTAAATGATTTTGGGTTTGTGAAATTACGCTTGTAAAATGCGATTTAAAATTAAATTTTAACAAAATGGTTGTACAAGTACTCCTAATCTTCATATTTTATGTTGACTTTATTAGGCTTAATATCACTAATGAATGTGTCATAAACGCACTACTATGTATGATTAACATTGTTGGTAATTCAAAATTATAAACGCCGAATTTGAAGACAAGTAATTCACGTTTGATTTTAAGCAAACGAAATTTCGTAATTTCAAAAAACACATTTTAATGGCAATATAATCAACAAAGATAAGGTGTGTTTACTGTTAACCACGATTCGAAAGAAGACACTAGCAATGACAAATACTCCGATTTAGTTAAAGACATGTTGTTTTTCTTACACATATCGTGCAAAAGCGAGTGTCAAAGTCAAAACCAAGAAGCTCTTTAACTTGTGCTCAAGGCATTAAAAAATACAGTTACTGTACATAGTTTTAATACATTTTGCAGTAATGTTCGGGCTTATTTTTATTATCAAAAATTGTCATAGAAATTGAAGGCATAGAATGTCGTATTGAAGTGAAAATGAGTGTGTACCCTGCCTTGTTGGTGCCCTGCTGAGCTCCTTGCTGATAATCTTGGGTTTGGGGATTTCAGAACTGGTTAGATCAATCAAATGGTTTGATATGAATTTTTGTTTTGTTTTTATCAGTTTATCTTTTAAGAATAATTTTAACCTTTTCGGACTAAAAAACATTTTAAAGTGATAATAGTGTTGCAATGGTAATTTCATCACACCTAAATTTCAATGCATAAACAGAAAGCATTGAATTTCATATTTCAATGCCAAGTTTCTAAAAGTGTTGAAAACACTTTAAAATATAATCATTAATTCATTTTTAAATGTATCAATGGCCTTTATGTATTTTCATTCAAACTTTTTAGATATTTTTTTTTATTTTCTGATTTAAACGATTACAAGATAGTTATATAAACTGAATAATACACATTTAATCGAGGGTCTTTCAAATCTGGAGACACGGTTTCTAAACCCTAGTCGCTTCGTTTAAACATGTCTCAGGATCGATTTTTTACCTGATAGTCTTTATCAAATATCACGGCGTTATTTGTTCTGTACGGTACGGTTCGATATACGAATGATACGGAAAGATGTTTCTCATTATAAATTTTTACTGATGCAAACTGGTTTTATAATTACAACAAAAACATTACCTTTACTGTTTATTTCCCCAATGTAGATATACATAATATATTTACACTTCACAATTGTCATGATTATAAAGACTTTCAAGATTACCAATCTTTTTATTTTATCATCTTCCAAATTAAGGTTATTCACATTGACATTTAAGTCTTTGCATTTTGAATAACTAAACATATTTTTAAACAAAAACATAATCTTTACACAATCTTTTGTATCAGTATCACTTTAATCAAAAAACCATTAACAATTATTGAGGATTGCACAAAAAAACAGAGTTCAGAATAATGCAAAGATATAAATCTTTTTCCTGGATTATAGATAATATGAAAACAAAATATGATTTCACACATGTAAAAGGTAATTTACTGTTTATTATCTGTATGTTTTTCTTAATAGCTACATGTACATGTTATATATATTCGATTTGTTATGGTCTATTTTTAAACACAAAAACGAAACATAAAACTGAGACTTCATTTATTAATTTCATCTTGTACACGTAAAAGCAATTTAAAAATAATATTACTTCTCCCACTGACTACATGTAGATGTCATGTATTGTACTTCATTGACATTTTGTTCTATAAATAATCATAAATAATAAAAAGTAGGCGAAGTTTGAGTAGTTTCATGAAAATTTAGAAAGTATCCTGAAAATCGAATAGCTGGACAAGAGAAAAAAAAACAGCAGTGAAAGAAGTACATCCATCAAGTCAAAATATATTCAATAGATCTTTCACAGAAACTGGTTAAAATATGGTGAAAACATAGAACATATTCCGATATTATCATGTTAAATTTTCAATTGTAAATAGATATACAGTTCTGGAACTCGAAAGATAGATATTTGTGGTGTTAATTCAAAAAAAAACAACACACAAACCTGAATCGATACTGTGACATCTTTAGACACAGTAACCACTACTTTCAGTTTTACAAGGTTTTCATCATACAGGCTTACATACCTAACTGAAATGTTATGTCTTTAAGATGTAACTGGTACTGTTAATACTTTTTGCATCCTCATAAAATGTATTTAATGCATGTGCTGTTTCAGCTGAAATGACACCGTCGATGTCATTATATTCATGATACTGATAAGGTTTATCAAGTATCAAGTAATAAAAATATATTTATCTGCCCTTAAATTGTCATGATCTATGTCTCCTTTTCAAATTTATATTGTCTACTGTGAAGGTATTGCTTGACTATGGTTCAAATTTGAAAAGAAGAAAATAAACATTAAAAAATCATGACCTCTACGCAGATAGTGTGCTACATTTTTCTCAGTGCTGGATAGTAAATTACAAACAACATACAAGAAGGAGCATAACTCTGCAAACGCTCATATTAAACTTACCTGCCCTTGATAGTCAACAATATTTCAAGTTTGAATTGAATATTTACAACAGATAGTAAGGAAACGGCTAGTATTCAATATCATTCAATGGCAATGATAAAGAAATAAAGGCTTTCAGAAATTCTCTTCCCCTACATTTGCATTTCAAATTTGATACTGAACAGACAAGTACTCCAAATTTTTAATTTAAATATGAATATCTTTGACACTGTTGTAGATAGAAACTCAAAGGCAAATGGGATTAAAATAAATAACTTAAGTTATCTGCCAATTAGAAGTGCATTTTGTTTTGATGTGATTAACTTTGACAAATTTTGAGAAATTAGAAGAAATATATAATTATGTAATTGGACATATTTTTGCAAAAATATATTTGGGATTATCTGCCCTTTTGAAATGGCGTCCTTTCATCTAATCATACATACCACGTATGAAGTGAATAGCTATGATAATAATAAGCATAATACTGTTCATGTTTTAGATTCCACACAAAACTTTTGCTTTCAAGATTTTAAAGCAGGGACTTTCCTTATGAACATATCTATCTAATTATCATACCATGTATTTATTAAGCTTATTTGGACGACCCTTGGTGCATTTAATTCTGACAAAAGAACCTTCATATTGAAGCATAAGAATTACCCAATATCTTAGGCTAACTTACAAAATTAACTTTAAAACTTACAGATGTAAATATACAAGCATGAAAACCATCCTAGATTGTCACTTGTCAAATCTCAAAATATGTTCATGACAAGTTTATATCGTCAATAACTTCCTTAAATCAGAAGCTAGGAAATGAGACCTTGAACTGAGTGAGCCATGAACATTGTCATCAGGAATGGACATAATAAAGAATTTCAAAATATCATACAAATCCACTTACCAGAAGAAAATACGTGCGAGTGTTGTAAATATTCATGACTCAGTAGCCATTTTGTCAACTTTGCAATTAATTTCGCTTTAACGAAGTATGCAATCATTCACGTTCTGCCCTTTGAAGTATAAAATTAGGCAAACTAAAAGAACAGGCATAATCGCATGTAATGACTTATTGTTTCAGGATGATAATAAACTTCGATTTCATATGTTATTATACAAAATGTTTTAGTATTCCATATGAACAATGTGAAGAAGAATAAAGTAAACATGTTTTGCAATTTCATGAATAGAATAATTATGTTGTTTGAACGTCAATTGTACATAGCAAACAGATTCATCTAATGATCAACTGATTTATTTATTTCAAAGATTAATATTGAATTATGTATGGCTAATGTATTGCTAACAAGCTACCTTTTGGAAGGTCGGTAGTTCTACTCTGGTGCCCGCTTGAAAAAAATGCTAAGAGGCGCTCCTCCCTCGACCAGTTCTTTAAAGTCGCCATATAACCATAACAGTGCCGGTATAACTTGAAATCAAACTTTTCATTCAATAATTATTATCTACTGCTGTGAAAAGATAGTTTGTGCGGGAGTATATCCCGAAATGAAACTTTATTTAAAAAAGGTTAAATTTTGTAATATTGTGTAGCTTTAAAGTGAAAAAAAAGGAATCAACCTTTTCGTCATTTCATTGTTTTCTTAACTCTGATTCAAACTTCAAATTATGATCTAATATATAGTTTGAATAATTATTATTAAACAATTATATAATATTGAAAAATTTTGCTATTGCAGTAACTTGGTAAACACAAAAGACGATGGCGACAGCTGGTCTTTTTTCACCGGAAAATGAAAATTTCTGCAGATATTTTCGACTTGTCAATGAAACTGCTGTAAAACCCTTACGGAAAATCCTCGAGAATGCTGCAACTGCCCGCAAATTGACTGTAGAAACTTTCCTTTTGAACCATCAAAAGTCATTGAAAGTACTTTTCCAGAGAGGCATAATACAAAAACACCAATATGACAAAATTTTTCCACAAACAGGTCCTTTTGTAATTGAAAATATTGATTTGACTCTTATTTGTGCTATTATTAAAAATATTTGTATTTTATCGATTAAAGGAAGGAATGCATGTGAAGATATAAGAAATTCTCGGAACGAACTTTGCCATACGTCCGACATTGCTTTGTCAAGATTAGATTATTATAGTAAATTTTCTTATGTTCACAACAAAATTAAGATACTACTTCAAGAGTATCAAGATGTGAACTTTGAGACGGCGATTGAAAGTGAAATTAAAAATATTGACGAAAGCCCTGTTAGTGTGTCACCTGTACTCAACCTTTTTAAGGATTTCCTCTTTGCCTTTGCCCAAGACTCGAGAATAGCTGAGACAGTTGCTGACAGAATTCGCCAATTAGAAGTATCAGTGACTGATATATATTCATCCACTGACAAAAAACTAAGAGATATATATGCAAGAGTTGAAAAGCAGCCAATTTTGACCGCAGAAGCTATACAAAATATTCAAAAAGGTAGGTCTTTCAATTTTGTTAACACACATGTGGGACATTCTTTTGTTTCATTTATTCTAATTTGCTTTAAAAAATACAGTATGAAACGACTACTGTGTTTTTCAATTCTTCTTTAAATGCTCTAGCTTTAGTCTATATTATATAATGTGAAAGTACTTTTTAAAGATGTACAAATAGCCGAATGTATTTAAGGCATTTTATATCCAAGGCATATTTTTGTTGTCTTTCTTTGTCTTTTTCAGACACTCCACGAAAGGAGATTGAACCACTTTTGAGTAAGTATAAATAATAATGAACAATCTATTTGAATTTGGTTTTTGTGTTGTCCCTATCTCAGTTCCATTCCTCAGTTACTATTGTTTTAGGTGACATTTCATTTCATAATGGCCGGTTGTGACTTGAAAAATGCTTTATCTTTAAAAAAAATATATACTTACATTTCATTTTATCAATTATAATTGTCAGTTAAGCTTACTAGAAAACATAAGTGCACATTCATCAGATATAATTTTATTACAGAGCAAACTGAAGCAGTTTTAAAAAGGAAATCAGAATATGTTTTAACCCAACAATTTAAAAAAATTGAAAAGCTGTTAGAGTCTTCCGCCAGTGTAGTTATTAGTGGTGGAGCAGGAGAAGGTAAAACCTATGCTGCATATGAACTTATGCGTCGAAATGGACAAGAGAACAATTGTATACAGATACATAGTCCCGATGACGTACGATTTGTAGACCCACGTATGTTGGATTTCGTATTTATCGATGATATTTTCGGAAACCATGAGGTCGACGAAAGTAAATTGCAGTCATGGTTACAAGTTATGGAACAATTACAGCAACTTGTAAATGCAAAAGCAATTCATTTGATCATTGCAACACGAGAAATTGTTCTCAAAGAATGCAAAAAAAATTTAGAAAAATTCTCTATTTTCAATAATACTTTCTCATTATCATCGAGGAATTTAAGTCTTGATGAAAAAAAAGAAATACTTACCCTAGCGTTGAACAATAAAAAGAAACGTTTTAGTAGTGAAGAAATTCAACGCTGTGTTACAACTTTCAGTTCAGATCTTGGATTTCCTTATACATGCGTTTTGTTTGCATCTGATGAATGTTTCTTCAACAAGGGTGCATCATTTTTTAAGCATAACCCATTTTTGAATTTTGATGTTTTTAAAACATTGAACGACTGTAAAAAGCTCTCTCTTCTCTTTATTTGGATTAAAGACGGAACTTTGCCGGTTGCTTTGAAACGAGGAAATGAAAACGATGAAGTTCTTAAAAAAATATCTCAAATGCTAAATTACGAGCATGCAATAGACGTATTATATGGTGAGGTCAATAAACATTGTAAAATTATGGATGGAGTTTTTGTAAATGCTGGATCATACGGGTATCAGTTTACACATAATACGGTCTATCAAGCCATTGGTCATTTTTTTGCCCAGATAGGGTTCTACGATTTGATTTTAGAATATAGTAATTTAGCTTTCTTTATGGAATGTTTTTCAGTCACAGAAGACCATTATCGATCTGATCGTGTTTTTATACGAAGAAACTTTTACCAGAATTTAGTTGACAGAATAATAACTGAAGTAATTGGCAGAAACCATTACCGTGAAATGGCGATGCATCCCTGCTTAACAAATGAAATACTTGAAATATTAGTTAAAACATTGAAGAAGAAGAAAAAGCTTAAAGATTTTTTCTTCTCTGGCATATGTTCCAGTGCGTCAGTCACCGAGTATTCTATCAGCAACACATTTCTTTCCTACTATTTAGAAACATGTGCAGCAGAATCATGTTCATTTCTAAAACAGTTACAAGGTCAATTAAAATGTAGCAAACGTTTACATAAAAATAAATGCAAAATATGTTACCTGTATAAAGAATCGTATCACGGTGCATGTCGAGGAGGAAATATTGACGCGCTTAAGCTACTTACTTTTGTAAAATGCGATAGTTCAATTTTACTTGATGCTGCACACAGTGGGAGTATTTCAATGTATAAATACATTCATAAGCTTTTAGACCCAGAAAAACGTAAAAGCCATGAAACACAAGCATTATTTATTGCCGTTGAACACCAGGACTCTGAGATGTATACTGTTATTCGAAAATTAGGGTGTAGACCAAACTCTGAATGTTTGTTGAAAGCATCTAAAGCAAAAAACAGTGAACTACTTGTTAATATTATAATCGACATGTACGTCTCGCATGCATTAAATGAAGATAAAAACGTAAAATATGCGCAACGCACGTTATTTAGCATGGATGTTTTAGACGCTTTTATCCTTGTCGGAATGTGCCCGACTAAGTATGATATTGCTCGCTCAATGTCACTGGATATGAAAGCTGTAGAGTCGATTTTGTGGGATTTGAAATACAAAGTAAGAGAAAAAGAACGTAGTATAAATGAACATATAATAGAACTATGGAAAAATGTTACGGAAGACCAAGACCTTAAAGAAAAGCTGGAAGAGATTGGTCTGCTTGATACATATTTTTACCTTGAACAACAAGTAATGAAAGGAAATTCCGAAAAAGTAGAACACATTATCCAGCATTTAAAGCGGAAAGAAAATTGGGACGCAACCAGTTTCTTTGCTTGTAACTTGCTCAACCTCAGTCTACCAGAGACAAAACATACGTTTGAATATTTACTTAATCTAGGAGTAATACCGAATTATACAACATTGTTAAAGTCAGTTGCAACGGATGATAAAAGTATTGTGAAAATGACTTTAGACAAAATGATAGCATCTGAAAAATTTGACCCTTTGCACAAAGGATCAAAACAGGCTTTGTTGCTGTCAACTTTGAACTGTGACATATATAACAGTTTGATAGATATTGGAATGGATCCAAAAGCGTACCATTTCCTTTATGTAGTAGAGAGTAACAGGGATACTGAAACAAAAATTAAAATAATCAATAACTTGTACTCGACGGTTGAAAAATGCAATTGCCTCCATAAATTAGACAAGAAGACAATGCAACTGGCTCTACTTGGAGCTTTCGAGGATATTGATGTGTATACATGTCTGTTGAAAAAGCCATTTAAACTTCAGTCGAGGTTATTACCGGTAATAGTATCTCGGGGATGTGTTTCACAGGTAGAACGCTTAATAACAAACTTGAAAGATCAAAAGGATTGGCCGCCATTGTTTGAGGCAACAAAGTTGTCTTTAGAATGTTCCTTTTACATGCCAAGCATTTTTGCGGTGTTTATGGAAGAAATTTCTGTTGAGAACTCTGGGGATCAAAATAAGATTTTACCTTACCAAATTTTGCTTGAGTGCAGAAGAAATTCATTTAATAAAATCGAGAAGTACATTTCAATATTGAAACAGAATAACTTATGGGACCCCAAAAATGTCATTTTGAAATGTTCACTTCTTGAAAGCAGTCATGATCAAGCAACGTGTACATTATTTGAAGACAATGGAGTCGTAGCAAATGATATATTGGATACTGTATATGAAAAAGGAAACTTTGAGATGCAGTCATACATAATAGCATATCTTAGTAGAAAGGGCCAACAGATCAATTTAAATAATTTAAATGAAGACATAATTAAATCTCTTTCGTCTGTCCCAAGTCTTTGTTCTGGACATATGTTACGTAGAGCTGTTGAGGTGTGTGACAATGAAGTCGTTCTGAAAATCTTTAATACACTGAACAATACGGATCCATATTTTATAAAGTCAGAGTTTGCATCGGACATATTAGAACTTAGTTCTAAAAGGCTCGATATTTATACAAGTCTTTTCGAGAAAGGTTTGATTCCTACTATTAAATGCCTTCTGAACGTTATTAAAAATGGTTCATTTATATTATTTCATGATACAATGGAATCTTTAAATGCTTTGGACAAACTTGTTTTGACAGACGAATTAGAAAGAGATTTGGTTCAAGAGTCAACCAAGAGGGGTTCGGTGCGTTTTTACCTCTCTCTTACAGAGTATGGGATCAAGGCACATTTCGAGGACTTAATTTCTGCAAGTTATTCAAAGAATTTATCTGTTTGCTATCTATTAGTAAATGACATTGAAAGGGACATATTAGAAAAGTGTCCCGATGGTATTGATGTTGTAATATCACACATGTTTCCTTTGTACAAACAAATGCGTGAAAAAGGGCTACAACTTAGCCCTCCAACCCTTCTCAAATTGACACAATTATTTCAGGAAGGGAAAATTAGTTTTTCAAATATCCTGACATTAATGAAAGATTACTTTTCCTGCCAAATTTGGTCATTCAGTGATAAAAGTTTGTCTGAGGTATATGAGCTGTCCAAAGGAAATAAATACCTTTTTTCTATTCTTGACGTTTATTATAAATCCGAAATTGAATCTCATCTTCTTAATGCTTTGATGCAAAGAGATACAGTATCAATAAAAGAGTATTTGAAACAGAACTTGACTAATACAGGGCGCGTTTTACCAGGTGTAATTAGAAAAGCATTAATAACTAGGAAACGATTGGACAAGGGGTGTACACAACTGATATATGAATGGATAGGAAACTCTCATTGTGATCAAAGCTTGAGAATACTTTCGTCTGTACTATATTCAGATACAGAGAACACACTTCAAATTCTCTATGAAATGTCAGAACAAACGAAAACTACACTAAATAATGATGTTTTACAAACTGCTCTTGAAGAGGCTATCTATAATAAGAAAACTGGTCTATATCTTTCAATTCTAAAAGAATGTCGTGTTACGCCCACAACCTATTGTTTACTTTATACTTTACGTCATAATTATGATGCTTGCTTTAAGTTAACACTTAAAAAACTTCCTGGATTTCGAAAATCATGCATTGATCCTTATTACAAAACGTCACTCGCCCTGTGTTGTCAAAATTCAGAAATTGATAAATTTAAAGCTCTTTTGGAAAAATGCAAAATATGTGATACAGAGCTTTTATTTGAAGCTGTTCTCTGCAAGAATGAACATATATTCCAACTTGTTAAAGAAAATTTGATAAAACACGACCAATGGGATTTTAGCTTGCAGGAATACTGGACCGCCTCTGCATTGATTGAGGCTGAAGACAGTCCCTTAATTAAGTGTCAGTTTGAGTCATACTACGATGACACCGTTAATGGACGTGACACTGAGATATATGAGCAACCTGATAAACACACATACTCAGATTACGAGAATCCTGATGTTGAGGAAGAGGATCATGATGACAATAAATCTGAAAATGAATATGAGGATTTAGACAGTTTTATATTCCACGAAAAAGCATATTGGTCGTTGAAACATATTCAACGGGACAATTTCTAGTATCTCTTAAGATTCTTTTTCTCTTTTTCTATATTTATCTTCAATCGTCTGATAAAATTTCATATGATGACCTTGTCCATAGGTTTACATTGTACTGGTATGTTTGTGTTTTTGATAATACAATTGGCCTGGAAGAAAAAACTAGTTTGAAAATTGCAGGTAGGATTTCAGCCGAAGAAGGTTATTAGTTATTTCGTTTTATATTGATCATTTGGTGCCGGATACTTAAAAAGAGATGAAATACTTATTTTGTCTTTTTAAATATTCTGTTGGTATGTGTATAATGTGGTTCAATTACTTTTACTTAGAGTTTATTTCTTTTGTTTTTTGATATCCTTAAATCAATGTATGCACATTAGGAACATTGATTTTTTTGTTTTGTAAACGCTTTTGCTGCTGTGAATCCCTCTGCAATTTTTGCAATCATTGTGGTATGCCAAAAAAATCGTTATAACACACAAAAACACGAACATTTATATTTACGTCGCACCAATACGGACCTCACGTGTCATCCGTGCACTATTCCAGGTACAAGGGTGCACCTTAGTTAGAAAAACTCTGATATTTTAATTTTGGTATGTCATGTAATTAAAATCGAGATAACTTAAAACTATATTTTGAAAAGGTTAAAGCAAATAAATGAAATAATATATTATAATTCAATTATATTCATGAAATTTCAAACAAATAATATAGACATATTACCATTTATGGGAACAGAAACACTATCAGTTTTTTGGATAGTTATTTTTGAAACTAAATTTGAAATTAAATCCAAACAACTTATGAAATGATACATATTTTATACTTGCATCTTATTAAAATGTATCCAAATAACATGTATCCAAATAACTTCTTACGTTTTCAACACGAGCTGTTTCAAAGAATACAGTATTGTGACCAATCTTGTAAATGTTGTCTCGTTTCGATTTTCTTAGTACGAAAACTCCATATTAAATTCATATTGTGCTCAATCTAGCCTCGTTCTTATCTTTTGTGTCCAAATATAATTTACTTAATATGTATTTGTCACAATATTTATTAGTCCTGTGAAATAAAAAAGGTGTGTTTTGCCGGCTTGGCACTACTTTATTGTAACCGGCGGGTTTGTGTTTCATTTTATTTATACGATTTTTGTTTTATTTATGATTATTACATGCAATACGTTGTATATAATTAATTGGTATAAAGTATGTTAGACACCAATCACCCGAAGAAAGTAGCGCTGAATGAAAAACTTTTTTCATTAAAGTAGCAAAATGTAAATAAAGTTGTATTTTGATATCCATACAAAATACCAAATCAGTATAACTGTACTAATTGTCCAAAAGCAATATACATTTGTACCTAATGATGCTCTTACACAAGTAAAGAGGACGAACATGTCTGCAACTGACTGCTGGAAACAAAAACCAGGCAAACTACCCGTACACTGTCAATGACTGAAAGAGAAACACAACTTACTTGTATTAGGTTTCAAGCTTTAAAGCCCCCAGTCTCTAGATGGTTAAAAGAAACAAAAATTGAAATAAAATTGCAAGTAAACTGTTAATACTGGCTAGTAAGGTTTAATATGTAAATCTGACATAACTGATGAATTAATCCTTAATTCAATAAAGAATGTTAACAGAAACGTCAATATCTCGTATTTGCCTAATCAAATGCGTGACAAACGCAATATGCAATGTAAATAGGACAGATAATTTATTCAGCATGGTTACGTGTCTCCGGAACCGGTACGCCTGGCTTTGTTAATGAGTTGGTCCTAATAATTTGTATGAAATATTAGTAAGACGGTAGTTTTTTATTATCTTCTGGATACATGCTGCTTTAAACCAAATTGTAAATAGTAATACGTTTGTTATTAATATACAGATAAAGATTATGTATGTATGTATGAGTGTTAATCTGAAAAAATAACTTTTTTGATTGATTTGAATTTGAATTAAATTTAGATTGAATTATATGTCATAAAATGTTAAATTAATTTCAATCAGCAATAAAAAAAATGTTGTTGTTCTTGTATATGTAAAGTAAATTACTGTGTTTATAATTGTTATGAATACAGATAATGCTACATCGATATTCATTATCCAGATGAACAACATATAAATACTTAATCATTGTATTAAGTATGAACAAGGTTGGTTACCTACATTTTGTGTCTTTTGTATGTGTTGTATTTTTTTTGCAATCACCTGCTCAACGTGCACATTTATTATGGACATGACTAATTGAATGATAACCTTTATTTGAATGCATTTATGTCATATATTAAGATTATGACCTGCAAATTATGCAAAAATATTCTGTTGATATGGCATAACATTGGAATAAGGACTGAGATAAAATTGCTGTTTCCTATAAAACTTGTAATGTTATATAGAATTATTATGAAATACAGTTTGAATTATGCATAATTTGATGTTGTATGATATTCACTTGAATGATTTAAAATATGTTAATGATTTTGTGTTAAACACTTGCTGTTTCCAAAATTAATTTTTGATTTAAATTAAAAGTTTAATACCGAGTGTCATTGATGACTACATAACTATTAAAATAGTATTTTTGTCGTACGATTAATATTTTGAATGTGTTAACCAATATTTGTATGCCATCATGTTACTATACAATTGTTGTTTCATGCAGTATAACATTCCAGACATGATATGAAGTGTATATGAATGTGTTAACCAATATTTGTATGCCATCATGTTACTATACAATTGTTGTTTCATGCAGTAAAACATTCTAAGCATAATATGAAGTGTATATGAATGTGTTAATATATATTTGTATGCCATCATGTTACAATACAATTGTTGTTTCATGTTGTATAACATTCCAGACATGATATGAAGTGTATATGAATGTGTTAACAAATATTTGAATGTCATCATGTAACTATACAATTATTGTTTCATGCAGTTAACCATTCCTGGCATGATATGAAGTGTATATGAATATGTTTACCAATATTTGTATGTCATTATGTAACTATACAATTGTTGTTTCATGCAGTAAAGAATTCTTAGTATGATATGAAGTGTAAATGATGACTGATATTTGAAAAGTTTCTGGTTTAATTCTAGCTGAGGTCTGTCTTACTTGCTAAGTTATGTTATAACGGTATGACATTCAGTTTGATTGATGTCCTATATTTTGTGTAGATTTGTATTTTGTTTTACATTTTTGTTGCAAAACTTGCTAATCTGTACTGTTTTGATATAAGGTGAGTGGTTATTCATATTTGAATTGTTTTAAACATTCAATTTGAATGATCACCAATATGTAAGGTTTGATTTTGTATGCTCACTTTCGTTAAAAAATAAAGGGACTGTACAACCTTCTAAGTTATAGTTTGATATGACACACGACTTGAATAACTATTGATTATTTATGAGAATGTCCTTTATGTATTATAAGGAGTGTTGCGATATTGAGTCAAGTTAGAGTACATTGTTAAAAGAAAAACACTACATAGTGACCTTCAAGTTGAATTATATATTATATATTTAGTGATAATTTTTATACATTGGGGTATTGTTATTCATTGCTAATGTAAAAGATGTTTTAAAAACTATATAGTGTAAAGTGTTTGACATGACTAATGATTGTATATTGAAAGATTTTAGTTAGCTTTTTATGGTACATGCCTGCTGTATACAAAACGCCTTGTCTAAATGTTAAGCACAAGTTATATCAAAATACCATAGGAATATGTCAAATTATATTATTGTTTTCTTAAATTAAATCAATGGCAAATTTTGCTGTTTTAGGAAATGTACTTTTTTGCTGAAAGGTAGGACTTTAAAGAAGAAATGAACGATTTTGAAAAGTTTCTTTTGTTGTATATTGCATAGACAAATACAATAGGTTGGTTTGATGGTTTCAGCGTAAAACACCTTGAGTACAAAGACGCAAAAGTCAACACAGAATATTATTTATTATATACTGTAAACTGATGATTTTAATCAAATGACGTTTTCAGTAGACTGTCTTGTGCCTAATTATATTATACACTTTACTTGCAGTCTTTATTATGTCAACATTATTATTGTTATTGTAAACTGATTGTTTAAACAAATTACGTTTACTTGACAAGATATAATAAATTCAAATACAAAAAAAAATGTATTTCTCATCAATCTGATGAAAATCAGCTCAAAAATAATACTATGCATAAGGATCTGGCGATGGCCGATACGTAATTATTTTCATTGGAACTTTCAGTGGAAGTGGATCAGGTTCTATTTTTCCCATTTGGATGCTAGAAACTTGATTTTAACGATTTCAAGATATTAGAGGTGAACAAAAATAAATGGCGACGCCCAAGCTTTCAAAATGAATATAACTTATACAATGATATACTCCATATGTTCCGTAGAAAAAGAATTTACTAAATATATACGTTTTTGTTGTTTTCTTTCGTTAAAAATTAATGACTTGTCTGTCTTCACGGATGACTTAAAATGTTTCTCAGTAAGATTTTCAACAACATATCCTAAACTTAATAAAAGGCAAAAATGATTAACTGGCGATCTTCATGTGAAAATAAGAAGATCAGAACTATAGTCAGTCTGATTTCTTTATATGCTGCCAACATAGTGGTTAAGCTGGAGAGTACCTAGATGATCAAGAATAACACACAAAGTTCTCGGTCTGTTTAACAAAAAAATGACATCTCCTCTTAAACCATTTTATAGATTTTAATGAAACTGTACTGAAATGATTATATTTTAGTCCTTTTTAGAAATTGCTCAAATGGTTAGGGTATTTTGAACAAAATGGCCGCCAGAGCTAAATGTAGAAATGAGATATCAATGTCATTTTCTCCTCAGTCGCTTGGATGTTGGTGATGAAACCTTAGTCGCATGGTTTTACCGACAAAGACCGTCTAAAATAATCAGTAGCTGTCAAATTTAATTTTATAATTATAATTCGTTTTGAACTCGAATATACGGTATATATGGATAGCCGTCCTATTTACCCCGAATATATCAACTTCAAAATTCTTTTATCATCAACCACATGATATGTGTCAAGGTTCATTACTGTCGGAACAATATTTTGATAATAATTGTCCATTGAACTTAGAATTTTCCTTAAAAGTGATATGTTTTACTCTAACGTATTCATTTCATAAGGGATCTACTTCAAACTTCAAATATATGGGTTCTTTTTTATCAACAAACACATTATATATGTCAAAGGTCCTTAACTAGAGCACCAATATTTCCAACTCTCAATAAATGCTCCTTATCATCAACCACATCATATGCGTCAAGGTTCTTAACGCTAGATGCCATATTTTCAGAATTATCTCCTCATATACTTAAAATGTTCCTTACATAAATGTATTCTGTTCTCAAATGATAAAGGGTCATTTTTAAGGCCTCCTTCTCACCCAGAATTCAGCATCAGTTACCATCCGCATCCACGGATTTAGCAACATTTTGCAAATTTACTTAAAAGCGGTTTTTTGGGGGATATTTTAAGATATATCAAAGAGATTACTTTTAAAAGATGTGCTTATTAATGGCCATAACTTCATTGAAAGAAAGTTTTACATATCTGTCTTAAATTTTCTTGAAGTTATGACCCTTTCGTACTATAACTTCATTTTAGTTCTTTTTACGCCATCCAATTTTCACTTCAACCTTTAAGATATTGATTTGAAACAAAAAACTTATCCTCATTTTTTCAGACAAAAGAATAGGAATCTGGCATGATTTTTTAAATTATCCACTTCTATAAATTACGGTTTATTTAAAATAAATGTTTCTATTCCATTGAATACTTAGAAACAGCTGAGCAAGCTGTTTTGCT